TTTACAAAATAATATATTTGAAGGGTGACAGTAATGTTTTCTGGTGATAATTCTTACAGCTCTTTTCTGTAAAACAAAAATAGGATTTGTGATTGTTTCACATGCTTTACCCCAGACTTCAACACAGTAAATCAAGTAAGGAACAATTATTGTATCATACAAAATAAACAGAGCTTTATCATTGAATAACTCCCTTACTTTATACAGTACTCCAACAGATTTAGCTATTTTTGTTCTTAAGAAATTCACATGAGCTCTCCATGTCAGCCCTTCATCAATGATAAGGCCCAAAACTTTATCTCACTGACTCTACTAATCTCACCAGCAACTTTAAAAGGAAAATCAATAATTTTCTTTTTATTACTGAATATCATGTAATTAGTTTTATCCAAGTTTAGCGACAATTTGTTAAGTTTGAACCATGTTTGTATTTTTACAAATTCTGTTTGTATCGTTTCCAAGATCCGTTCAATATCTGTACCCAAACTTTTTCACTGTGGATAATGACTCACTCTTACCAGCTTCAGCCACCATCTTCACCAGTTCTTTGACTTTTGTTCTTGGTTTGACGCACATTTCAGATGAAAGCATGTTCATCTGTAGGTCACAGAACCCGTCTCCTTCCTGAGCGTTATGACGGATGGACAGTACTTGTGTACAACTGTTTGTACAGATGAACGAGGAGCCTTCAGGCATCTGGAAATTTCACCAAGGATGAACCAGACTTGTGCAGGTCCACAGTTCTCTTCCTGATATTTTGGCTGTTTTCTTTCCCATGATGTTACACAAGAAGTGTGTTTCAGGTGTGTCCTAAATTACATCCACAGGTGTGTCTCTAATTAACTCCAACATTATCAATAAACATATCAGAAGCTTCCAAAGACATGACATCGCCTAAAACAGGAAAAATTTATTCTGATGTTACATAAATACATGTTCTCAGAGTTTGTTGTGGCTGATTTAAGTAAAATTTTAACTTATCTGACCACTAAATGTTAAATTATATTGTTTAATGATCAGATGAGCATGCTAGTATGAATGGATTTAAACTAACCTAAAAAAAAGTTTTAAATAAACAGCTTCCTGTTTCTGTGTAAAACACTAAAAGCAACAGAGCAGCGCCTGAATGAAAACAAAGACAGTAAACTCTGACTTGGATGTTGACAGAGAAGCTCGGTCTGTCGTTACATTTTCTCTATCTGCAGTCATTAAAGCCTGAGAGCTGGGCAAAAAGCAATTTGACTGAGAAGTGTAATGAAGTAATTACAGCTGATAAGGTAAATGAGTTCACACCACTCAGTGTGTGTCCTGCTGGCTAATTTGGATCTTATTGTGGCTTTAATGAAAAGTGTAATGTCATAACGTTGGCTGTAAGGCAGAGTAATGACGATCTAAACGAAGAGAAGCCTCCGGTTAATGATGGACGACAGAGGAATCAGAGATAAACCTGTAGTCTTTCAAAGTAATTACACTGTGATAGTGATGGACTCTCAGCACTGTCAAAACACTGACCCCAGCTTAGTCTGTGTGAGTGTGGTCAGTCATGAGCTGGGGTGACCCTGGATCTGACTGGACCTTCAACCATCCCTCAGCACACACACTCAGTCTGGAGGGCTGTAATTGAAAGGCAGCTGGTGTATTTAGGAGTCATTACTGATGAAAGAGGAGCAGCTGCACTCACTCACTTCCTGTGTGTTCTATGTTACACTACAGAATAAAGACAGGATGAGGAAAATAAAAACAAATGAAGAGAGGAGAAGCAGGTTTTCTGAATGGAGTCAAACACTCTTTGACCATTTCCTTGGTATACACACCCTCTGTTGCTTATGGGGACAAAAGCACGGTCTTGTGTTGGTGGGTCAGGGTTAGGTTTAGGCTGTAGAAATGGCCAGTAAATGAATGGCAGTCAATGCAAAGTACCCATAAGGATAGACAAACAAACATGTGTGTGTGTGTGTAGGGGGTCCTGTTAGGGGGTCTTTGAAGTCCACACCACTAAGCACAGAGGCTCTACAGAAAGTAGAGCGTGCAACATCCATTCCTGTCATCCTGTCAAACTCCTTCTGTTAACCATCACTCTCATGTCAATCAACAAAATTAAATAAAGTTACTAACATAAGAGAAAAGAGATCAACAATTACAAAATTAAATATAACTAACTATATAGAAAATATAAGAAGCCTTGTTTAGAAAGAACAGACTTCACCACGGGCGGACTGGCCATTGGGAGTACCGGGACTTTTCCCGGTGGGGCTGGTGCATCACTGGGCCGGCACAGGCAGAGAGGGAAAAAAAGTTGTGTAGTTGCGCTAAATACCAGTAGATGGCGATAATGCACCAATTCAATGTTTACCAACCACCAACAAAGACCGAAGAAGAAGAAAAGTTTGCTGAAGAAGAAGTTAGAAGAGAAAAAGAATAATAAGAAAATAAGAACAAAAATGGAGAATAAACGTAAGGGAGGAGAACAAAAATTGAGAGGAAAAGAAAAAGCATCTACAAGCAAATTCAGTCGTGTCAAAAACTGACACTTATTTTCTGCTGGTGCATCATCAACATCCTCACTGGAACCTACGTCTGGAGAACAACGTGACTGGGAGGAGGATGGTAGTCATAGTGGCTGTATTTGTTTCTAGTTTACTAACTTTTAAAACAATGCATTTAGCTGTTACATGTTGCTTAAAATGTTTTAACATCAGTTTTGGAAATTTATATGATGATTTATATGATTTTGTAGTGCAGCTGCATTCATGAAGTTGTTCCATTGCAGTTT